ACCTAGTTTTTTAACTTCTGTGTATCTGTCAGCAGGTGATAGCTGCATAAAGGTTGTGCAATTGTAGATACCATGTGATTGGTTGCAATAAAAGCAATTGCCTGGGGTGTGAGAAGAAGTGTCCTTTTGAATGGATGAAAATGTGTGATTGTTATTGGTGTATGATGTGACTGGTTTTTGTGATTGTTTTACAAATGTTTTATGATTATAATTATTTGGATTTTGTTGACTAACTTTTTGTGAGGGTTTAGGTTTGTCTAAACTCTCCAAGTATTCACATCTGCAAACCAAAAATTCTAAAAACTCTGCTAATGTTGGAGGTATTTTGTTTGTTTGTGAGTGTGACACTTCTTGCCAGCGATTTCTAGTGGTTTTGTCTAGTTTTACCTTAATTAAATGAATTAAAAGTCTATCCCAAGAGTCAGTAGGTTCACCTAATGCCTTGAGTGATCTGATATGTTGTTTAAAAGAATCAATCAGCTTTCTGAGTTGTACTGACGACTCAGTTGTTGCTTCAGGTATGCTAAAAAGTGCTTCTATGTGCCTATCTATAATAACTTTTTTATTTTCGTACCTGTCAATTAATAAGTTGAGAGCAATGCTGTAGTTGTCGTTCGTTAATTCTAAATCTTGAATTACCTCCAGTGCCTCTCCTTGGAGACGGCCTTGGAGATAATAGAATTTTTCTACTTTTGTTAATTGAGAATTTTCATTAATTAAAGCATTAAATCTTTGAATGAAAAACAACCATTTTTTGTAATCTCCATCAAATTTTGGAAGATCTATTGGTGGAAGAGATACCTTGCCAAATGAATTATGTGACTCTACCTTTTGATATTGTTGATTATCTAACTGAACCCGTTGATTCATATTACTGTGTAATTGCATAATAACATTGCGAGCTGTAGCTACCCCTTTATAATAACTGGATTCAAATATTTCTCTGTCATTTGTCAAATGTGCATTGTGATCTAAACTTTCTATTTCACCCTGTACACTGTCAAACTGCTTAAACATGTTTGGTGCATGTTCTAATCTAATTTCTAATTCAATGAGATTGTTTTCGTCTGCATTTTTTACAAATTCAACAAACCGAGTTACTTTAGCTATTATAATTTCTCGTTCAGCTAGTAATTTATTTAAAGGCTGTTCAATGAGATTGCTAGTTTTATCATCGTTCGGTGGCATTGTTGTGAATATTATTGATTGTGATCAAGTAAAAATGTGATTATTCTAGCCAAATTGTGCTTGTGAAATGTACTTACCCTTACAGGTACAGATTGAATGACTCTGATAGCGATAGGTGTGAATGGGATGATTCTGTGTGATGTGATGCACGTGTGAAAAATGGAACTGTGTTTCCAATGGGATGATTCTGTGTGATGTGATGCACGTGTGAAAAATGGAACTGTGTTTCCAATGGGATGATTCTGTGTGATGTGATGCACGTGTGAAAAATGGAACTGTGTTTCCAATGGGATGATTCTGTGTGATGTGATGCACGTGTGAAAAATGGAACTGTGTTTCCAATGGGATGATTCTGTGTGATGTGATGCACGTGTGAAAAATGGAACTGTGTTTCCAATGGGATGATTCTGTGTGATGTGATGCACGTGTGAAAAATGGAACTGTGTTTCCAATGGGATGATTCTGTGTGATGTGATGCACGTGTGAAAAATGGAACTGTGTTTCCAATGGGATGATTCTGTGTGATGTGATGCACGTGTGAAAAATGGAACTGTGTTTCCCTTTTGCTTGAGAAAACAATCCGCCGAAGGACCAAAAATATGTTTGAATTGTTAACTGTTGATTAATTTGATTGACTGAATAAAAACTAACACTTGATTTGATGACTTTACTATATAAAAAACATTTTTTAACGAGTACAAGTATTGTCTATATTGCATGTAAAAGAAGCAGGAAGGAAGTAAGTTAACAAAAAATATCTGTCAAATTTTCTTGACATAAAATCAGGATTGCCAATTATAAAATTAAAAAACACTGATGTTTGCAATGTTGGTTGCCTAACAGTAGGCGCACTAAACACTAAACAGGCCAATATACCAAGACCAATACGCCTATAGTGCAGGGAAATCAACTGAAACAGCTCTCCATCAATTAATAAAAGGGGTGGAGAACACACTGGAAAACAAGGAGGTAAATGCTGGGAGCATTCTTGGATATCGAGGGTGCATTTGACAATACCTCCATTGAATCGATCATTAAATCTCTCAAACACAGAGGAATCGAGGACACTTGCGTGTCCTGGATCGACTCTATGTTCAGGAAGAGAACTGTACACACAACCCTTATGGGAGAGACAATAGCGGCACGGGTACCGAAAGGATGTCCGCAGGGTGGAGTGCTGTCTCAACTCCTGTGGAACCTTGTAGTGTACGAGCTGCTTAGGGCTCTCAAAGATAAGGGACATAGAACCCTGGGATATGCCGATGATCTAGTGATCATGGCACAGGGAAAATACAATACTATAGTAAGATATCGAATGCAAGAGGCTCTAAATATAGTAACAAAATGAACAGAGACGGAAGGACTAAACATTAGCCCAAACAAATCTGACATAATTGCATTCACCTGCAGGAGGAAATTGGAGGGACTAGGACCTCTAAACCTAAGAGGTGCAAGCATCCAGCTTAAAGGGATTATGTTTGACTCGATACTTACCTGGAACCAGCATCTAGAAAAAAACCATAAGGAGAGCGGAAACCTCGTTCATGATGGCAAGGCGATCCTTTGGAAAAAAATTGGGGTTAAAACCAGACATGGTATATTGGCTTCATAACATGGTGGTGAGACCGACAATAACATACGCAGCTTTGGTGTGGTGGCCAAACACACAGAAAATGAAAGCAATAACGAGGCTGAGCAAGGTACAAAGACTTGCCTGCCTCGGAATAACGGGGGCAATGAAAACAACCCCCACAGCTGCAATGGAAGCACTAATAGGACTCCCACCTCTTCACTATGTGATATAAGGGGAGGCAAGATTAGGTGCTTACAGATTAAGGAATACACAGAAATCTTGACATTAGGCCAGGTCACATGAGTATCTCAAGGTTAGTGACAGAAGACGTGCTAGACATGAGATCAGACCACATAACCAAGAGGTACTAAGGGAGCCCGATTCCCAACTACAGGAACAAACCTGGTATACAGACGGGTCTAAGACTGCGGAAGGCACTGGGGCGGGAGTATTCTCCAAAAACCCTAATACTAACCATAGCTATGCTATAGGAATACATTCCTCGATATTTTAGGCCGAGGTATACGCAATTTTGTAATGTGCAAAAACGAACAATGAAAGAGCTGTCGAAAATCAGCATATTCAAATAATGTCAGATAGCCAAGCGGCACTTAAGGCCATATCGAGTCAGAAAGTTACGTCGAGGGTGGTATGGGAATGCATTGAAGAACTAAGAATACTGGCAGACCGAAATAGAGTAAAACTATTTTGGGTGCGAGGTCACCAAGGGATCGAAGGCAACGAAAAGGCTGATGAACTTGCAAAAAGAGGGTCAGAAGAAACACCGGAACCAGACACAAATCCAGGAGTACCAAAAAGTACAGTACGGGGTTTCATAAACGACTGGATTCGGGAACAACATATTAACTACTGGAGAAGCACCCCAAATCAGGCACATGGAAAAGCCTTCATAGGCAGACCATGTCCCAAAAGAACTGGAGAACTACTCCTTATGAATAAAAACCAGTTGAAAGTGATAACAGGGTTCATGACTGGTCACGCCCCAGTAAAGGAACACTTGAACAAAATTGGCATATCGTCGGCCTAAGATGCAAATGGCCTAACTCCTAAAATATATATTTTTTTAGGAAAGGCAAAAAATCTTTCATGTAACAGTATAGATCTTTAACTAACGGGTAGCCAATAAAACGTATTTTTGGTAAAAAGTGGAGTTAGGCCATTTGCATCTTAGGTCGACGATGTACAATGGGGAACTCATGTGCCGACTATGTCACAATAAACCAGAAACGGTCAAACACATACTGTGCGAATGGTTTACCATTCCTTAAAGCAGAAGACGTTGGCGATTGCTTTGTTCTTGATCCCGTTGCAATTCAACCAGATGATAAGAGGGTGATTAAATTTAATGACTATTTAGTTATATATGCAATACAATAAACAAAATAGAGCCTTTATAAAAAAAATTAAAGAGCAGGTCCTACCCTGAACGCGTAGCGCAATAGTCCTCAGAAACAGATGCGATTTGCAATTTTGTCGATTCTAAGCGTAGCGCGCGCGAGTCGAGGCATCCCGTCGCTGTGCAGGACCGTACCTGTTTATAATTTTTAATTAATTTTTTATTATTTTTATTTTAAATATTTTGGAAAAATAAAATCTGCTAATCGGTCTCAAATTATGCGAACTACCACCCCTACAAATTTGGACGCCAAGTTCAGAAACACCCTGTATACATGAAATTTCTACCTTTCCTCCTAACATTTAGGCTGGAAACTCTTCTTCTTTAAAAAGGACAACAAACGCATGCGAATCTTTTCATTCGCGTTATAATGCTTCATTTTATACTATACACCCAAATTATAAAAGTTCTTCTAGATTTTCAAATAGATACCTATATTAAGCTTCAAAGTATTGATACGGTGGTCAAAGTATGTTATGATAAAAAAGTTTTTGGACGATAATTTTAAAAAATTACAAGAAGGCATCATTACCAATTTTCATTTTGTAAAAAATATTTCTTTTAAATGTAGAATTTAATTTATTTTATAAGTGTGTACAGTGAAAAAAGTTTTTATATCATTTTTGTAAACACATTATTGTCTTGAAATACAAAATATCCGTTATTATAAAAGATATGTAACGAACTTTGTTTATTTATTTGAATTTTGTTTTATATTATATTATTATATATATTTCGTCAAGATATAAGATCGACGTTTAGATTTTAAGGTATTATAAGTACTTATAATAATTACGTATTAAAATCATCCTTTTTGAGAGTCAGGTGATATTTTTATTTTGGGAGACAATTCGACTCCACCGGTTTTAAATAATTGCAGATAAATTTAAAAGTATTGATTAAACAAAACAATGTTTGCAGGTTTTATTATGGTTATTACTGCTCAGTTATCACTGCTAAATGATTCTTTGAAAAATTTGCATACCTTTTCATCTCATGAAGGAAAACCAACTGTTGAAAATATTAACGAAGAAGCAATGATTAAGAATATTATAAAGTGTGTACATAACCATCAAGAGATTCTCAAGTATGTCATCATACAAACCTCCTTGAAAGTACTCTAACTATTGATTTATATATGTGTCCTTACCTCAGTCAGACCTTCCTATTTAGTCTTTTAGTACCTCATCTGATAGCAAAAGTTGCATGTATTTTTTACTTGCTATTTGTAGTTGGGTACAGAAGAGGGGGGTGAACAACATGTAGTACGTCCCGATTGTAGGAGCTCTTGTGTAACCTGTCAAATTCAAAAGGTCTTCAAAAAAATATGTTGAAAACTGACCGAGTACTAGATGACCAGTGGAAAGTTTTACGTGACTCCTAATTTGATACTGTTCCACTGGATCTCGGACAGTTAACAATATATTCCCACTAAACATGAAACATTACCAGTCTTTTTTGTAATGTTTCTCATAGATACTTTTCTTGATATATTTTTAAAACAATGCTGAAATATCCCATAGATGTTTAAATTTTAACATCATATTCATTAACATTCCTCGTATATATCTACAAATGAAGTTTAATGTACGCTGGAATACTTCAATTAGCAGTTACATAAACATCTTTTGTACTTCTTTTTAGTTACTTCCTGTGACAAACATTTATACGATGTTAATTTGTATAACTCACAATTATATCGCATACAGGTCAGCACAGTAATGTGTATAAGTTACACATCTTTAAGATGGCTATCTTTAGTCTTTACATCGCAGACCTGGCAGACCTAACAGTTCGTCCCGCGTTCATAGATGGAGATACCAATGATCGCTTGCTACTTACGTAACCGGTAGTACTGTATTATGGAGGAGTCTGGTGCTCAGTGTTAAGTATTTCATCAAAGTTCTTACTTTTACCTTCGATATTGATTTAGACCATTGTATTATACTTTTTATGTAAAATTTCCTGGGAAGTTTAACTTGTCTTCTAAGCTTTTAACAACTATTCTGTTTTATATAGATGAAATATATAAAATATATATAGTCCATACAAAATTTAGATAAAAATAAAAAAGTATGATCGTCACATTTAGTTCATTAATATGATTTTATTTTATGGGCTTTATAATAACATCTACAAGAAGTAAAAATACTTTCTTTAAGCTATATATTATAGGGTCGATGGTGTAGCGGTCTAACGCGCTTATATTCATTTATAAGCAAGTTTATGTGTCCGAGACTGCTGGGCTTCGAATCCCAGACCAGACCATGTGGATTTTTAATTAAATTGCATGGTTCGGTATAGGATTTGATGTGTGCCGTATTAATAGAAATTCAATTTCTGTTGATATGACATGCAGATTATAAAAAAAAATCGCCATACATTATCGTCTCGATGATGGTGGGTGAGGTTTTCCGGGTTTTCCTCATCTGTAAGTCAAATGGCACCATCAATCATCTTTAAGTCGCCCCGGAGCGCCACGGCAAATAATAATAGCCGTCTCTTTCCCCGGACAAGCTCAGCTTTTGGGGTTAAAATTCACTCGTAAGGAGGTGAATTAGGGAGAGTATTATTATTATACCGAATTTTGTTGAAAAACGTATATACACGGTCACATGACCGAAATTCCTATACCAGAAGTAGCAAAACCGTATGACAGTAAATGCTTGCAATGGGATTTTTTTTATTATTATGTAGACATATAGAAGAGGCATATATTTTTATTGCCAGCAAAAAAAAACGAAAAATGCATCGATAAGCAACTTTGAATTTGACATGTTCCACGACCACCGGGATATATTGTTGTTCGCCTACCACGCCTGTACCCACCCAGACAGCACACCAAATCCCAGAGATATCCACAGAATATCTTTTGTTTATATCCAATATATCCATAGGATATCATAGATATCTCGTGGATCTAATATAGATATCCAAATGTCCGTCTATATCCAGGATATAGAAGATGGATATCCAGCAAAATATCTAATAGGTATCTCCCAGACAATACACGAAATCCCAGAGTTATCCACAGAATATCTTTTGTGGATATCTAATATATCCACAGGATATCATAGATATCCAGTAGATCTAATATGGATATTCAAATGTCCGTCTATATTCAGGATATAAAAGATATTCTATGGATATCCAGCAAAATATCTAATGAGTACCTTTAGTAGAGGTTCATAAGTAACCAATGGATATATCCTACAGATGTTTAACATATCCAGTGTACATCCATTATTTGATATATTTAAGATATCGAAACTTATATGCTTATAGGGTGTCGTATTTAATGTTTTATTAATTTTTTTATTTTTTGAAAGATAAGTGGAACAATGTACTGCATAATCTAAAAACATTCCATATGAACAAAATCAGCATTTCAGTAGTATAACATCGGAACGCCCTGTATTTTAAATTTGGTATATACACCCATACAAAGTTTACTATTCTAGTGTTAACTATTTTGATGCTACACAGCATAGGTATATAGCATGTAGAGTAGAAAGAGTATCGACATTTTATTTTTACAATTAAATATTGTACACCATATCTAAAAAAACCACCAAAATATCATTGAATATGTGAAGTAAGTTTTAAATTGAATGCAACGCACGAGTTATCTAACATATAAGCATCTTACAAATAAATCGTATTCTTTATTGTTGTTATATTAAGTATACTTAGGGAAAACAAAGACAAATATTATGAGCAGGCTAAATATATTTAAAAAAAGTAAACTATAGTATAAACATACTATTATATTAAATAACATATTACATTTATGCTGACGAATGAACATAGTACCCGCAGCCAAGGAAAACCTAAACCTAATCACACATACACACGCACACACATTCTTTGCACCTGTGAGGGCAGAAAATATCTGCGCCTGCGCTCGCGTTCATTGCCAATATTATTTATCTAGCGGATATCTGTGGGATATTGAATACTACTAATTTTAAATTTCTATAAATCATACCTACATACTTTCTTATTTATCATATGGCGTATTTAAGTAATTTAATAATTATTAAATCAATTCACATATTTTCCGATATTTAGGTACATATTATATCCATAAATTACATCTAGTGGATATCCACCATGGTTTGCGTTCGCGCCTAGACTTTGATATATTTAGTGGATATCCATGGGATATTGAATACAACTTAAAAAAAATTTAATTTTAAATATCTAAACGGTACTATTAGCCACAATGACGTAGTTTTTTAATAATTTGTTATATAATTACTATTATTTATGGACATTTGCATATCTCTAAATTACATCTCATGTATATAAAATAGATATCCACCATGAACTGGACATTCAATGGATATTGGGATGTCCAGTAGATATCCAAAGGATTTGGTGCGCTGTCTGGACAACTACAAAATGCAAGCAAAAAACGCGATATGCCACTTTTTGCAGACATATGATTGGTGATTTATCATTGACTTTTTTTCTAATTTGGATCTATGTTTAACTTCTGGCACAGATACAGTTTCTATAACGAATCTGCAATTAGATTTTGTTATACTTTAATGAACCGTTTACATTTTAGATTTACAAAAGAAATTGAATCTCTTTTCACCGTAGCCACTTTTGGACAATTTTCAATAAGTGTATTAATTCTTTGTACTACTTTGTTTAAATTAGCATCGGTAAGTTTTTTGTAATTACGTAAATAATGTGCCGTAATTTTGAATCCGCAGGTGGTAATAATATTAATCTCCTGGATCATTTTTTGTTTTAATCCCCATGTTTTTCCAAATGCCGGTCTCCCTACAATGACAGACATTTTACATTTGTTGGTCACTTTTTGTAAGTGTTGGTTCCAAGTAAGTTTGTTATCTAGGATTAGACCCAGATATTTTACTTGGTTCGTTTTGTTTAGCTTTGCTCCAAACAGAGTCATAGTTTCTTAGACCTCCAACCTTGTTTTCCGAGTAAAGGTTATGAGTTGTACCTTGTCAGGTTTTCCCTAACGCACTACATTTCTGTCAGCCTTAGAGCTCTTTGCATGAGTTCGAAGACTGTGGTTTGGTGTTTCCCTCGGATAAGGATGACTATGTTATCGGCATATCCTTGGGCGTACAGGCCTTAATTGTTCAGTGTTCCAGCAGTTCATCTGCCACTAGGTTCCACAGTAGAGGAGAGAGGTACTCCACCCTGTGGGCATCCCCTGTGGATATTCACCTGCTTGTTTTCACTGAACATTTGTGCCTCTACTTGTCGTCCGCGTAACACGTCTTCTATCCACCAGCAGATGGTGTCTTCTATTCAATGTTTTCGAGCGGCAGCTGCCGTTAATTTAAAGGAGGTATTATCAAAAGATCTTTCTATGTCAAGAAATGATCCTAGGACTATTTTTTGGCTACTGAGTCCCCCCTCTATCTTGGTTACGAGATGATGCAGAGCAGACCTACAAGATTTTCCTGATTGATAGGCATGTTGGTTTGTATGAAATGGCCTCTCTATCAGAGTGGTTTGCCGGACATGCTGATCAATTAGTTTTTCCAATCCTTTCAATAGAAATGACGTCAAAGTTATTGGTCTGTAGGCCTTTGCCACGGCATACATTGAACACCTCGGTTTAGGTATAAAGGCAACTCTGTTTGTTTCCAGGTATTTGGTACATGTTTTGCACCAAATTGCCCTGTAGAGCCTACAAATATGCAGGGCCAGCGTTTCTATTGCCTGTTGCAAAAGCACAGGCAGTACCCCATCTGGTCCTGGTGATTTGTATGGATTAAAGGTGCGTATTGCTTATGTTACTTTCTCCGTTGTGACTACCCGTTTAGCAGTTTCCCACTCTTGGCTGGAGATTATTTTTTGAGAGTTCCAGTTCGTGTATGTTTGGTTTGCTGCATTCGAGTTTGTTTTGCAATCAGGGAAATCAGTTTTAAGAAGTAGTTCTAATGTTTCCATTCCAGTTTTAGTGTATTCCCTTGTTTGGGTTTATTGGATATTTTGCTAGAATGCGGTGGAGTCTGCATCTTTCAGTTGTATTTTCAATTTTCTGACAGAATGTTCTCCACGAATCTCTCTTAGATTTCCTAAGAGTTTTGTTATACTTTGTGAGTGTTTCGGTGTATTCCCCCCACTCATTCGTCTTTTTAGCCTTATTAAAAAGTTTACGTTTTTCCTTCTGAGTTTGGCAAGTTCGGTGTTCCACCAGCTCACCTCCCTAGCAGTTTTCCTGTTCTTTAACGAGCAGTTATTGTGATATGATGTTATAATTGCGTCCCGTAGTTGTTCTGCAACTTCATCTATATCATTTTAAGTGTTAAGAGTTATTTTAACGGTTTTTAACACTGCCTCCAGCTCCACCTCGTATCCAAACCAATCGGTTTTATGTGGGTCTCGGTATACATCTCTTGGTTTATCGACGTTGTCGATTTCCATGAGAATGTGCAGGTAATCAAATTACGTACCAAAAAGGTAAATTGAAACTGGCCTCAGAATATGAAGAAGAATGGGGATCCAAAAATGAATTTTTTTGCGAAAATACACTTATTCAAAAATGGTAAACGAACAGTTTGTGATATGAAATTTGTGCATCGCACCATTAAATCTTCGATATGACACGTTCCGTTTCGATTTTACGATTTAGTTTAGAATGTAGCAATGTTATCAGATGATAAAAGAAACAGCCTTTATAGCCGTGGGCTATTAATCCCATTTTATCCCATTGGAATATAATACACCATTTTGGATTATCTTCTTATGTTCTTAAAACCTTAAAAATATTTTTAGCTGGAAAAGAACAACTTGGAATTTTTCTCACTGGTATTATACATTTTTGTTATAACAAGTGAGGTATTCATTTTTTGCTATTTTGGAAACGAGGTTATAACAAAGGTATTTATATGTTCACTTTACTTTTTTTCAAATTACTATAGTGCTAGTCAAATAAATATCTTGGATGTAGATTAAAATGTTCAAATAAGTACTTAATTTGACAGTCTCAGTTAATTTATTCTCATTCTTTTGAGCACACAATCTTGCATGTTAGTTTTAAGCGCGAAGCTTAATTGCTTAGGGGACCGGGGGTTTCTGGAGCCACTTAAGGAATTAATGTGAATAAAAATGTAATATTTACTTTACAATTAATCAAAATTGTGACGAAGTCACTAAATTTTTCAATAATTTAATTACAAAATGTTTAGTTTAAATTAATTTTCGCCTGACAATGTTCTCAAGAACCCCCGTATTTTGTTTCCTAGAAATTCTCGTTTTTGAACATTTGCGAGAGCCCTCTTTTTTCAAAATATTTCACTACTTTCTGAAATTCGAATCCAGCTTTAAACGTACAAATTCATGTAAATGATTTAAGTCGATTTCGCAGATGGCAAAAGGATAGTTTTTCAGTCCTCCTATTTGTAAATATTGGCTGCTCCCACTCCGAACCACTCAGAAAACAGAATCGATCCGATTGTAAAGTATTTATTCAGCTCTCATCGAGCACTCTTCATGGTGTTAAAAAAAATTATTGTGATTAACGCCGCTTGTGAAATATTTAAACTACATTGTATGCTACTATTATTTTCTTTTTCATAAATATTTCTTTTTTTGTTTATTGTTTTCCTGAACGACTGCCGCTATATATAAGTTTCAAAGAATATCCTTTGATATAGTCCGAGGAACTTTGAAACTTTAATCAAAACCGAATTTTTGATCCTGCGTGGAATTTTCGAAACTTTTGTAGGACATCCCAGATTTGTTCTGTAGCGGTCTGACATCGAAGACGTGACATCTTAAAAACCGCAACAAAAAAAAAAAAATTTAGAATCGAAGTTTGTATTCTGCGTGGGATTTTCGAAACTTCCGTAGAGATTCCAGATTTGTTCTATAGCGGTCTGGCGTCGAAGGAGCCTCTTGAAAAATTCTTACTTCCGCTGATAGAATGAAATGTAATAGATTCAATTTGTCAATTTTTAATGACCAATTCTATTAAAAATAAAGGAATTGTTTATAGATGGGTATTATCTGGTAGGCTAAATAAATAATGACCTAAGATGGACGTCCACTGGACGTTAAAATAATACTAAATTTAAAATTAAGTCCAAAAACAGACGTCCTCTGGGTATCGGTATCAGTGTTGCCAGAATATATTTTTGTAATGTACCAGATTTATCTAAAAAATGTACCAGATTTCATATAAATGTACTAGATTCTATAAAATTACCAGATTTTTCTAATTATGAAGTGTGCTCATTAAAGAGCAAAAAAAGGTTTATAGAGAACACAAACACAACAATTTTAAACAATATTTTATCTCTCGACAAATTTCTGACACTATTTTATCTCTCGAGCAGTTTTTGAATAAGATTTTAATACCTTTTGATACTCTTTTATCTCTCGAACAAATTTTAAATCTTTTTTTTATCTCTTGAGCTATTTTGAAACAATATTTTATTTCTTGATAAATTTCTAACAGTATTCTATCTCTCGAGCAATTTTTAACAACTTTTTTTTATCCCTCGAGCAATGTTTTTGTACAATTTTTAACAATATTTAATCACTCGAGCAATTTTTAACAGTCTTTTTTACCTTTCAAGCTATTTTTGAACAATATTTGATCTCTTGTGCAATTTTTGAGCAAAATTTTAACAATTTCTAACACTATTTCATCTCTCAAGCAATTTTTTAAAAAGATTTTAATATCCTTTTGATAATATTTTATCTCTCGAACAGTTTTTAAACCTTTTTTTATCTCTTGAGCTCTATTTAAACAATATTTTATTTTTCGATAAATTTTTAACATTATTCTCTCTCGTGCAATTTTTAACAACTTTTTTTATCTCTTTAGCAAACTGCACAATATTTTAACTCTTGACAAATTTATAAAAATATTTTAACTCTCGATAAATGTTTAACAATGTTTTATATCTCGAGCAATGTTTGTACAATATTTTATCTCTTGAGCATTTTCTAATAGTATTTTATCGTTCGAGGAATTTTTTAACAATGTTTTATCTCGAGAAATTTCCAATAGTAGGTATCTCTTGAGTCAATTTTGAACAATATTTTATTTCTCAACAAATTTTTCAATAGTATTTTATCCCTCGAGCAATTTTTAACAAGGGTTTAACATTTTGTAATACTATTTTACCTCGAGCAATTTTTGAACACGATTTTAACAATTTATAATAATATTTAATCTTTCGAAAAATTATTAAATATTTTTATCTTTCATTAAATTTCTAACACTATTTTTATCCCTAGAACAATTTTTGAACAATATGTTACCCCCCAAGCAATTTCTAATACTATTTTATATTTCGACCAATTTTTAACACCCTTTTTTACCTCTCAAGCCATTTTTGAACAATATTTGATCTCTCGTGCAATTTTTAAACGATGTTTTATCTCTCGAGAAATGTCAACTATTTTATCTCTGAAGTAATTTTTAACAACTATTTTAATTTCTCTTGCAATTTTTTTACCAATATATTTTACACTTCAAATGGAAACACGCTGAAAAAGTACTAGATTTTGTTTCGAGTGTACTAGAGTACCAGATTCTCAGAAAATGTACTAGATCTAGTTCAATTGAACTAGACTGGCAACACTGATCGGTATGCAGCTGTCAAATTAATGATCATAAACGGACGTACATTGGATGTCCCAATACGGATATGGACGTTCTGGCCCTCAAATGGATCTAAAATGAACGTCCATTGGACTGTGTGCTGTCTGGGTGGTCCGTTGACAATCTAAATACTGCTAAACCTAAATATTAGGGTGGCTTCCACTCCCCTAATACGTAATATATAGATTCATAATAATGGTTTTTATTAACACTTTTAGCACAATGAATTGACCAACTCTGCTTATCACAGCGAATGGCGAAATTGCTCTAAAACTTTTAGAAAAAACTTAATATTTTTTATGACTAGAAGCCAAAAGACGTTACGTCTTCTTGCTGGAGGATATGTTACTTTGTCGCTAGAAACGTTTGTTGCGGTAACAAATATTTATTACAAATTATTTTAAGATATTCTTTACGTTTCTACCTACATTTCTGATTTTTTCTTTTTCAGATAATGAAGTCATCTGTTTCGTATTTTACTTTTCTTAATCAAATTAATGAAACTTAATATTTTTGTTATGTAGCAAATTACAAACTTATTTAAAACAAATCTATTAATTACCAAACTATATATTGACAAACTGCACAAAGAAATGTAGAAAAAAGAAGCATAAATAAAGCAAAAAAGTACAGTGCTGTTTTTTCTCTCTCTGTCAATGATATTTTTTAAAACAGAGTAATCTGCAAAACAATAGTTCTAAAGTAGGCCAAGATCGACAAAGACGAGTCATGTCTGTGGTATTTATGTACAGCTCTGAAATAAATTCAAACTTACACTTAAAAAACACAAGAATTTTATGGGATATTGTCTGTGCTTTTGCAACAGGCAATAGAAATATTGGCCCCTTACATTTGTAGGTTCTACAGATCAAGTTTGGCGCATAAAAACCTGGAAACAAAGCAGAGTCGTTTTTATACTTAAGCCAGGGCGTCCAAAATATTTATTGGCAAATACACACAGACCAATAACTCTGACGTCCTTTCTATTGAAAGGATTGAAAAAACTGGTGGATCAGCATGTCTGGCAAACCATTCTGATAAAGAGGCCACTTCAAAGAAACCAACATGTTTATCGGTCAGATAAATCTTGTGAGTCTGCTCTACAACATATTGTAAAGAAGATGGCGCGTAACCAAGAAATAGGCCTATGAGCATTTCTTGAAGGAGCTTTTGATAACACATTTTCCTATAAATTAATATGGAGGCTGCCGCTCGCAAACATGAAACAGATCGAAGACATTATTTGCTGATGGATAGAAGATATTATACGAATGGCAGGTACAGGCACAAATGTTCAGTAAAACAGTGCAGAGAATATCCACTGGAAATGCCCACAAGGGGTTATATCTCCTCTACTGTGGAACCTCATGGCAGACCAAATGCTGAGAAAATTTAACAATTAAGGGCTTTACGCCCAAGAATACGCCGATGACATAATCATCCTTATTCGAGGAAAACACCAAAACACAGTGTTCGAGCTCATGCAAAAAGAGCAACAAATGTAAATTAGAAAAACATGGGAAATAAAACCGAAAGTGGTCCAGTGCCTACGGTTGGCAATAATAACTGATTCCTATGGAGCAGTTGTTTGATGGCCAAAAGTAAAGTAGGAAACATCCCCCAATACCCTCAGGAGTACAGAGGCTAGCATGTTTCTGTATTACAGGAGCACCGACCTGACCTACTCATAAATGTTAGAGAAATTTAGCAACAAAAAAAATAGCAGAATTTTAATCAAGGTCGTGTTATATTTGGAACGACTATTTCACTAGACCAAATATCGACTATTTCTCTAGAGAAATAGTCGCTGATATTTGGTCTAGGGAGATAGTCATTTTAATTTTCTCAGACAGCCAAGCAGCTTTATTAGGGATCCTTTTGGTTCAAACAGAACCAAGTTAAGCTTTCCTGAAACTGTCTTGGAACACTTAATGATCTGGCAACTTACAATATGAGGTAAAACTAGCGTAGGTACCCGTACAACACAAAAACATTTCGGAAATATTTGTAATATTGTATAAATATTACCAAACGTCTCAGAAACATTTCTGAAATGTGCCTGAGATGTAAAAAATCTTAAGTATTGTCCTTTTACAAGATAACCCGTTTTGTTAACTTTAAAAAAAAATGCACTGAACTGTAACACATTTATAACATGATTCAAAAACATTTTCAGTGAAATATTTAAGTACGATATTTCAGAAACTTGTGTTTAAAATTCCAGTCTAACACCAGGACCACCTAGAACTTTAGAGACGTTGTTACCGAACTTCGATTTTAATTCAAGGACGATGACTTACCCAAGTCCGATTCAGGTAAGTTCTGTTTATAAATACGGACCTAAAGTCTTTAAAGTTCTAGCTGAATTTAGAGATGGATATTAGCAAATCTGTAACTGTTATGTACTTTTACGGATTTGTTACTACCCATCTCTAAATTCACGCGATATAACCAAACTTCGATTTTCATTCAAGGACGACTTACCCAAGTCCGACTCAGCCACAATGAACTGGAGTGGGGTAGAAAGCTTATGTGCATAACGTGTGTCCATTGTATTTAGAGAATATAGTAGAACAACCTTATTGACGTTTCATTGGAGGCAATTCTGTCGCGACATCTGTTAGAAATTCATCAAAATATCCCGAACACTAGCACTTCCTCGATCTTTGAGTACAGAATTCTATGTACATAAAATTTTCTTAATTTTTAAATTCATATGGGTAGAGTGCTAAATTTAAATTACTATTGTTTATATTCTCTAAAATGATAATAAATCGTAAATAAATGTTCAACAAGCATAATTAAACTCGTATATTCCATTTTTAAAACAATTATTCTGAATCGATTATGGGCCCATCTATTAGTAAATAGAGAAATTACGTTCGTTTCGAAGACGACAAAATTATCAAAGACATGACTTGGACACCACGGAGCTTGCTGCCATCTATTGATACTGTCCATTGTCCTCCAAGATAATTTGCATTGGTATTGTTTTACTAGTTGATCTAAATACAATGGTGTGTCTTTTTTTTCACCGGTTTGTTGCAACCGTTGTTTCACCGATGCGGCCTTGAACGTTTTGTGTTGGATTCTGGTTGACCGTTGAAATAAATAACAGTTGACATACCGCACCGATGCCAACGTTGCTGCAACAGTTGGATAAAAAGACACACGTATATTGTATCAATTGTACAAGATGCGACTCTATGGGCGCAGCCATTTTTATTTCTCATCTCACTCGGGAGTATTTACAATAACCATTTTCTGTTTCACATTGTTATTGTTCAATCCACAGGCTGGTGGATCAGACAATAACAAAGTGAAATAGAAAATGGTCGTTATAAATACTCCCGAGTGAGATGAAAAATAACCTGTCTTCGCTCATAGAGTCGCATCTCAAGCCTATTGACAAGTATTCTATCCCACTCCAGTTCATTGCTCAGCCACCGACCTTAAACTGGATGGCTATATGACATAAACCATACTTATGAAGACCTACTCCTCATTTCTAAGCCGACATGGATAAAATAACGGTCGGTGCGAATGACAATTTGGACGCCAGACTGTCAATTTGGAGCATTCTACGTCACGTTTTTCACGGGCGTACTACGACAAATATTTTTAATTAATAACGCACTATTTTAATAATAATTATTATTAGAACATTTATTTCAGCTGCGTATTAATTAAAAATAATTTTTAAGTGATTTTCTTAAATTAAAAGGTATCATAGTTGAATGTAATAAATGTTAAATTTAATTTTGATGATCCTTTTTAGTGCATTTCGATACGCACATGTGGGCGCCAAAGTGTCAAATATCACCTTACATGCGGCTTGATTTTGTAGATCGGCTTTTGCTGCGTTTGAGAATCCACATCGGATGCATCTGAGATGTAGTAAATCTTTGATCACGTGATTCTGTATACGTAAATATAATGGGATAGATGTGTCAGATGTGGATAAAAAAATGCTTGAGATATAAAAAATGCATCCGATGTGGATTCTCAAACGCTAGTTCAGTGGACTCAGCTGAGTTTTGTTTATAAATATGGATAAAAAATATGAAAGCATGATGTGACACAATTGTGAGCTGAATGTTCGATGAAGTAATTGAATTCTAGCTAGATGAAGAAGAAGAGTGTTTACTGTCAACCTGTGCTGTCAACGCTGTTTACATTTATCATGATTTGAAAATTTTTTTAGTTTTTAATTATTTTTGAAGCAAGGTCATAGATAATGCATGAGCAGCACGAGTAAGATACATTGATTAATATCAATGGTAACATATTAATAGTGCTTGTCATCAAGATGGCATCAACAACTATAGAATTTGCAGTTCAAATGACCTGCAATTCATGTGTAGATTCGGTAAAAAAATGCATAACCAATGTAGAAGGAATTGAAGACGTTCAAATTAGTTTAGACGAACAACGTGTGGTAATTAAAAGCAATTTACCTACCTTAAAACTTCTGAAGATTTTGGAAAGTACCGGCAAAAGGGTTGCTGTTAAAGGTTATGCTGGAGGTCAGGCTGCCGTTTCTATTTTGCAAGCTGGTAACCCCAATGTTAAAGGAGTTGTTCGTTTTATACAGCCAACTACAGGCGTTTGTATTGTTGATGGTACTGTTGATGGACTTAATACAGGACACTATCATGCTTATATTTATGAATGTGGAGATTTATCAAATGGTAAGTTCCCATGAATAAGTAATTCTTAATCACCACTATCCTTACATTTATTCGTTAGTTAGTACATAATGCAGTATTGAATGCCCTAATCTTGTAGTTGAAGGGTCTGGAAATGGGCCTGTTCCAGCTAGTTCTGACAATTGGAATAGTTGCCAGGTTATATTTAATTATTTGGAACCAGGGAATAAGCATATTGAAATAACTATTTTAGTTTTAGTCATCTATTTACCAATTTTTAGATGGATTAAAAATCCCATAAAAATAAAAAAATGTTTTAAAGATTTTCAAGTAATATGATTGTTATTTTTAATGACAATACTTAATACCTTGCAATAGTGATAATTACAAAACTCAAATTTGTGTCAAATTCAAATAGTAGATGTCAGTGCAGAATGGTGTGAATATGTACATTTGTAAACCCATCAACTACAAGATTACCATTGAATGCTATATAAACAATGTAGGTACAGCTAATCCCAAATCAATTAAAAACTCTTAAGAATCTCAATTAATTTGAATGGTAAACACAAACTAACAATTTAACTAACCTAAATTTCCATTCATCCAAAATCAATGTAAACCCCCAATTGAAAATATTGTTTCACAAGGTAGCACATTCCGCTCTTGCTAAAAAGTTCAATACATATCGACAGTTAAAAAATTTAAAGAGTCAGAAGTTTAATAGAAATTTAAATAGCATTTAATGGGATTATATTCTATACTATCTAGACATCAAAAAGATCAAATTTTTAACTAACATCACTAGCTTATTTGATATACAGTGCTTTATTAATTAAATTACAGTGATTCCTAGCTCACTGCTAATTTAATTATTTATAATTTAACTATTCTGAAAATAAAAGCAGTATCAAAATATAAACATACTAAAACCCAGCAAAACTAGAATAAAGCAAAAGGCTTCTTCGAAATTTTTCTTGTGTGAAAAAAGGGTTAAGAAAAAAAATGCAAATTTTTACAAAGTCTTAAAAGTATACATATCCCGAGACATATCCAAACCTCTGAAAAAGAAAAATCAAATACCTTGTTATAATATGTCAAATCATTTTTATATTAATGACCACTTCACTGTTTCAAAAAAAGGGACCTAAGTTTTATAGAAACGACAAACATTTTAATGTTAAGATCTATTCTTTTCAGCTTGTTGATTTTGAAACTTTTATATTAGCTATTTATGCAACCATTAAGAAATGCCTTATTTTATGTTATGAGTGAGTATTTGTGGGACAAGCAGAGGGATCCTGCAACATGAACTAGTTGTAAAAAATGACATTTCTTAAGGGTTACATACTTATAAGATTTTTTCTAATTTTGCCTAAATTATAAAATTGTGTTTGTTAAAAAATGACAAACCATTAATTTTTGTACTTCCAATCAAAGAATTTAAAAAAAGAATATTTGGAAAGTTCTAGAAAAAAATGTGGCATTTTATATGGATAATTTAATATATTTTACAGAGTACAAGTGGTTATTTCAAATAGGATTTAAAAATAGAAAATATCAATTAGGTATATATGTTTTCACTCACTTAAAGAATTATAATAATATTGCACCAATATCATATTTGTATTGTTAGTTGCATAACTTATAACTTACATAGGCATATTGACATATTATTTAGAATCATTACTTGTTGTTGAGTGGTTTTCTTGTTATAGCATGTTAGTCTTCAAGAAAGTGAGTTGTTTTGTCCTGTATTGAGTGGATCAATGTACTTTATTATTTTTGGTAGATTTAGGATTGAAAATAGAAATCGAAACAGAATTTTTACTAGGTTGTAAGTTCATTGACAAGCTCTATTTTTATAAAGCCATTTATTCCTTTGATATAAACTTTTAAATTGATTTTAAAACCAAAAATGGTCTATTTTTTTTAATAAATATTAAATCTGAAGCTAGTGGGGGTAGATGGAATCACTTTACAAATGGTGTTAAAACTGTGTTTCCCTGTTGTTGCTATTTATGTATTACATAATCAATTCCTGTTTAGAGCTTGGATATTTTCCTGACTGCTGGAAACTTCATTAGTGTTACCTTTACCAAAGATAGTTCATCCAAAATCTTTGACCGTTCTATATCACTTAATACCTTTACTTTTGAAATTATTAAAAAGAGTAGTTTATTAGCTTTGCTTACTCCAAGAAAAATAATGTACCGACTATACAATCAGGTTTTCAGAAAGGCCTCAGCACAACTAAGGTTTTAGCTTCCTTAACTAACACTATTATAAGAACAATTGACGAAAACAAAAAAGAACCTTTTTGATACTCCTCGATTATTCTAGTGTTTAATATCTTGAATTATCAGTTACCAGTTGTATAATGTTTTTATTATGATTTTGATGAAAAACTCATAATTTTATCAGAACATATTCATCTAATTGTGGCCAAAAAGTAATAGTCAAATGTCGGTGGAAAAAATTGTGTCAGGAGTACCTCAAGGTTCAGTTTTAGGTCCGTTGGTTTTCTTGATATATACATATGATCTAGCAAAAAATATAAAATACTTGAATCCACAATTCTTCACTGATGACACCCAAATTAGTAACAAATTCATACCAGCCAACTATCATCTCACCGAAGCTGAGATAAACTGGGAATTGAAACAGATTCACAACTTCTCTGTAACTCCTAAGCTTCTGCTGGTAATAAATCTAGAGCACTTTTATTTGGAACAAATTCTCGTGGAGTCTACCTCAAGAAAATAAAATAAAAATACCAAGATGTGAGGGTGGTGTTAACCCTTCTACAATTTCCATTGGGTTACTTTGATTACTGAAAGTAGGGTAATCTTCTAAAATGTACTTTGCCAAATTTCATTAAATTTGTTTAACTTATTTTTGAATAGTGTACAAAAATTTGATTTTTTGAGTAAACTTGGAACTCTTCTCACGGACAAAAGATACATTTTGGTCTGGATTTTGGTATATATAAATTAGGGAGGAGTATATAATTAGATGCAAGTAGAATGAATATGCAGTCTGTAAAAATTGAAATATTTTTTATTAAAAAATAGGCTGAGCGCTTTCAACTTACAAAGCCGCCACCAAAGCCTTGTATTTGTTATTTTAATCCACAACTTAATGTTTCCTTTGATTCATCCCATGTGGAGGATATCTTAGACGTAAGTTTTAACATCTATTAATATATTGTTAATTTGTAACGCCTTTTAGGATGACTTTGTAAGCCGAAAGTGCTTAGTCTAATTTTTAATAAAAAATTGTTCAATTTTTACACACTGACATATTCATTCCACTTGTATTTCACTAGTAGTGTACACCACTCCCAGTTTGTTTGTATAATTAATTGTTTTATATAGTTTTTGTTTGTTTGAGGAGTTGTAGAAGGAGCTTATACTAAATCTCGCCTCTCACTATGTAACATTTAATTTCATTCCACTTGTATTTCACTAGTAGTGTACACCACTCCCAGTTTGTTTGTATAATTAATTGTTTTATATAGTTTTTGTTTGTTTGAGGAGTTAGATGTAAAAGGAGCTTATACTAAATCTCGCCTCTCACTATGTAACATTTAATTTTGTTTGTCAATAAAGACATTTTAATATTATCCTATTAAACATGATAAAATTAACTTTAAAAAATAATATTAATTTAATCAAATTAAATTTTGAGCAAGTTCAATCATTGACAATAAAGGTGCATAGATTTACGTACAAATTTTACAAAAAAATGTGCTAATCACTATCTACAAGTCATTAGTGGAATCAATTGCAAAATATTGTATCACAATATGGGTTATATGAAGAGGCACTTTATCCTCTTAACCTTTGGACGCCAGAGGGTCGTGTATCTGCGAAGAAGCTGGAGGGGGTACATTTTGTACCCCACTTTTTTTCCGGGTCTATAACACTCAAAATAAAAAATTATTTAAAAATGTATGCTTCTTTTGATATTTATTGCAAATAATTTGTAGTGTAACTCAATTAAGGCTTTCCATACATAAAGGTACAGCAATACAGCTAATGTTCTTATACAAAGCACTTTTTTATTATATAAAAGAGAGGTAGGATATAATGCTGGTTTACATATTCAACCAGCGAATTGTAAATAATAATTAGTAAACTCCTAGTCATAAATTTCCTTAATTCATATAATTTAAAAATTAATCTTCTTACCTTGAGATTTTAATGACGTAATGTGATCAACCCATTTCAAATTTTGATCAATTATGATACCGAGGTATTTTGTCATTTATTTGTATGTTGAAAGAAGTCCTTTGTAAATTACATTGCTCTCTATGGATCTACTTTAACACAAAAATAGTTTTGTGGCTATAAGTTGCTATAACCTATCGTCTCAAAACTATTAATACTTTAAACATAGTAAGTAGTAAAATGAGGGGTAAAATAATAAATTAAGGGAAATACTTAAAAAGGGCAGGTTTAAAGAGTATTATCACAAGAAAGTATATCCGTTCTGTTTATTTATCAAGTATTGTTTGAGGTTACTTTTTAATACATTTATTGTAGTTTTTTTTTTAATTTCTGTAGGCAGTCTATTAAATTTTTTAAACCTTTAATAAAAATTATATTTTGGGAACTTTTAGTGATGGCTTGCCGCCGTACATGAAAGTCAGATTGGCTTCTTGTATTTATTATAGTTGTGATATTGCGAATTATATTGAATTTTTTCAAATAGATCTGATGCGATGGAACTATGTCATTTTTATTTTATAAATAAATATCAGTCATATACTGAACATAATTCTGAACTGAAAGCCAATTTATTTCGTTTAACATAGTTGCAATACTCATATCCTTCTGTCCTTTATTAATAGAATATAAATAGGCGAAATAAGGAGCCCAAATATTTTACATGAGCAGGCTTAAGAGGTAAAGGTGCCAATTATTATTGAATAAATTGCTCGAACAAGTTTTTAAACCCTAATCAAAAGGCGATATAGAATGGTTTTAAAAATCAAGGCTTGTGAAAATCATCACATGGTTGACACTAGGGAAAATGCCAATGCTTTACAAAACATTCAACGTCCTAATACTACTATCGGCTTTCGGTCTTTCGTTCCAAGTTAAACCATTTCTCGTTTTTATTACGCTACGAGTTTACCCTTGTGGGCCTCAGTCTCGATAAGGTGGGAACCACCATTTTAGCGTCTCTCGAATTTTAAGTTTATTTTATAAATTAGTAAAAGTCAAATTATTTTTAAATTAGTTATTTTATCTTAATAACCTTAAATAATTTTTAAAATTTGTAGACTTTCGTTAGTGGGCCGTAGAAAAAATATACTGTACAACTACATATTCAAACAAAACTGTTGAACTATGTGTCATTTTATATTTTCAGGATGTGAAAATATTGGCCAAGTTTTTAATCCTACAAAAACCACAGATGGGAAAATTTATGGAGACATTGGTACAATAGATAGCAAAGAAAATAACAGATCACAATTTCGCTTCGAAAATAATCAGATCAGTGTAACAGATTTAATTGGTAGAGCATTTGTAGTTACTGAAGAATCTGCTTCTTTGGAGAAAACTAAAAAAATTGCTTGTGGTATTATTGCTAGATCAGCGGGACTTTTCCAAAATCCAAAATCAATTTGTGCTTGTGATGGAACCACTATTTGGGATGAAGCTGGGAAAAAATCAGCTCTATGAAATGAAGCATTTATATGGATTTCAAAAATATTGTGATAACATTTGTATTTCTAGATATCGACTAAAACCTAACGTCATTGACTGTTAGAGGGGTTAAGTTTTAATTTCAATGATAGTTGTGTACTAGTGATACCTAATATAAGTATTTATTTTAATTTCTTTTTATTTACTAGTATTGAATATTTTGTTAAATAAGACATGGCATTTACCTTAGGTTTCTGAGCTTTCAAAATTTTTCTAATTTTTAGGTACGTTATTAAGGACATCTAAAGAAGCATATCTTAAATAAACAACTTTTGTGTCAAATTTAAATTTTTTTCAAGAAAGTTTCAAAGCATTTAATTTTATTGTATTATTACCTATCTTATTAGAAAGGCATAGAGTTAAAAAAATTAAAATAGAAATACCAATTCTTCACGCTATTATTTATGGTATTTTTTTATTTTGACAGAATAGGTTAATTCTTCAAAGACAATTTATTAGACTTCTCATACATTTTCCCGTAAATACTGTTGCCTGCCTATATTTTATTATTGATTATAGTTAATAATAAATTAATATTTTACTTGTTTTACAAATCCATGTACTTTTATTAAAACTAACATATATACTTTTTAATTACGAACTCTATTAAAAATTTTATTATCAGTACCTATAGGCAAAAATAGTCCATTAGTAAATGATTGGCTGTCACGCATGGAGCGAATAACACCTGATGAAAATATTATCGTAGAATATCTAAACAAAATGAATTAGTATCCAATTCTGTTATAATCGAAGCCACTGGAGTTCAAGGAAACAGAAAATCATATTTGGAGTATTATCTTTCTTAGATAAAAAAATACATTAGTGATAAACTAAATCCTATAGTACTTAAAACGCAAGTACATACCACTTCACTACGATTCTGCAAGTCAGGTTTGGCAAAGAAACAATATAAAAAACATTTTTTTTCCATATCAATCCTTTTTAAATATTTTTTAAGAATGTATTATTTTGTCAAATTAACGGTTAAGCTACAATAATATCGCCATGATTCAAATGGTAACACAAAGCACAAAGAATGTTCCAGCCTCTTTCCTTGCGAACTATACTACAATTTCAAAATAATAGACTGCGGAAAAATTTCAGGATTGTGTAATGGAATGCTGACATCTGTCATCGCTCCAAAAAATGCAAGTTTTTCTTCTAAATTTCACAGAAATTGTTTTAGACATTCTAAAATATACGTAAAATAGATTTTATGTATAATCTCATTTTTAATTATTAAATGGTGTGCACTGTACTGTTTGGGCCGCCTGAGGTCACCGTCTCCTTTTGTTGTTTTAATAGTCTTGAAGATAGGCATATGCCTAAAATATTAATTAACAAGTTTGAGAACAGCGAAACTTTTTTGTCAACAGTATTTTGATTAAAATATATGTTAAATATTGTGCAGGGGTTTGGCAACACCCTGTATATATCTTGTCTGCATAGTTAACTTAATTCCAAAAATTATTTGTTTTTTTTTTTATTTAATTCTACTCGAACTAACTACATTATCTGGATTCAGTCATAAGTAAATTCAAACTTTTCTCATTTAATAGGTCACCTATAAACAAAGAAGGTGAAGGTGAAATAAACAAGAATCTATATTTCTTAATAAAATGTATTTTGTTCTATAATTTTTATATTATCATTGCAAATGTCATTTTACTCTCCTGGCTCACCTAAAAATAAAAAAAGTGTAAGAAATTGAAAAAAAGTATAAAAGTTTTATAAATGGGTATAATCATTCAAGATTAATTTGAGTAATGAGTCCAGAGTATTATTACACCTACTCCTAATAGAGGACTTCTATACAAGGGAAGTGCAACCAACTTGACAAATTTTTTTTGACACTAATGACATAAGAAATCGTCAGGCTGTTTTTTTTGTTAAATTTTTTGTTTTTCTTATCTAGTTTCATGCCGTTTAGATACCATGTTGTACCCGTAACGTAAAAAAGACTTTGTTTTAGGGTATTTTACATTTAAAGGTTGAAAACATTTGTCAATATCAGCTATCGATAATGTCAAAACATAAGCTTAGCATTGCATTTTATTTTTTGTTGTTAATAGTCTATTTGTGTTTCTCCCGCTTTCTTGAAACATTTTTTTTTCATTTGGTTTTATTTATGTCGATTGCAAAATGCTGCAGCTACGAATACAAGTTCTATCAATATACAACCAACATACAATACTAGTTACGTTATGCCTATCTATGGTTACGCCTGTGTTCTACCATCAACATAATTGACAGCTGACAATGACAAAATGTTTCAACCTTTAAATGTAAAATACCCTAAACTAAAAAGTCTCTTTTACGTTACGGGCACGGCATAATAAACAATCGGCAGGCTAACTTGTCTTGGCGGCAACGCAACGCGCACATCGCCATTTTGGGGTCCAACCTCTCAATCACTGTCGTCGTTTATATCGACAAAAACAAACAAGTTGCAGTAGCACGGAATCAGTAGCGTGTATCTTAAATTTATTTTGTTTGTGATGTTTGTATGATGTAGTTATTGTTATTTTTTTAGAATTATAGATATTTTTTACACTTTTTATATAGTAGTTGTTTTCCAGTGTTAATTTGTTAACTTTTAAGTGTTTTACTATGTCTGGGGAAAGTTGTGCAGCAAAAAACTATATGAATAAACTGTATTAAAAGATTTTTTCGGTTTCTTAAAGATCTTATTGATGTATGGTATACTTTTAAAAAAATCCTAGTTTATGAATCAGTTTGTCAGTTATAAAGCTATTAGTAAGATGTAGGTAGGTGCCTAGTTAACGTCACGTAAAGTTTAGCGTCAATTTATATTTACTTATGTAGGTATATTTTAAAGTAAAATGTTATATTTTAAACATCTCCCGTATGGAGTTGACAAAATGGAAAAATCTTTATTTTTATTTTAAGGAAAAAGTCATTATAAAAAAATTCTGTTTGACGAAAAAATAGGTTTACTATATTAATATGTTAGGTCAGGTGTACATGGTCTTAATAAATGAAGAAACTTAAAATTGACAAAATGAAAAAATCTGTATTACCTTATTGATTTTACGAAGAAAAGTCACAGTTTTCCTTTCGGTTTTCCTTCATATCTTTAAAAGGAAACTTTTTCTTGTAATTTTCTTCAACAAGCAGAATTTTTTGTACGGAACAATTTTTTTTTCTGAAAAAAAAAAAAATGAATATTAATCGTAATTGTGTTATTCCCAAATATTGAAATGCTTAACATAAATTTAATTCTGATATTCATTTTGATAATTATTCTAGATATGCGAATAACAAAGCTTTATAATCTTGATAAATCTAAAGTATTTTCATTACAAAAAGCAAGAAAATCTTAATTAGCCATTAAAGAAATTATAAGTAGTAAATTAGTAATGAGTCACAATCAAAATCATGTGTTTTAAGCAGTGCTATTAAAAATGTAAAATTCTTATATTTTGTCGAAGTAAATTCAAAAGCCCGCCAATTTTCAAGCTAAAACAGCCTTACATCTTTCTATATTACCGACTGATTATTAATTGCACAAAACTATTCCATATGTCGCTGAAGGTAAACATGCTGCCAAATTTCTGTGAGGAATCTGCAACTATTAATTATCCTTCCTCCATGATGGTAACTGTGTAAACCCTACATCGGTCCAAATTCAAAGGACGTTCAAAAAATTGCAATGTTCAAATTTATTACATTCTGGAACTGAAAACTGCGAAACAGGTGGGGATGCTTTACTTGTAAGGCTACATGAAATTCGTAGGACTAGTAAGGATGAGCCATTTTCCAAAATCGCGTGTAATGGTGGCAATATTGTCGAAAATGTAAATATAAACAAGCATATTAATGAATTGCATGCACAAAATATTAATATTTTTTAAGAAAATTTTATTATATATGCGAAATATGTCACCATTCAACCATAGAATTCTAAGAATAACGCTGATACCTTAGAAACTCAGTTATGTGCCGTATCGGATTACAACACTTGTTTTATGCGATTAACATCGTAGCAATATTTTTTTGTAATTTAAAAGTAAAATAAATTTTTTAAAAAAGACTTTCGGCATTGTGGAGAATTATCTGGCGCAGTCAGTAGGATTCTCAGAAGTTTACGTATCGAACGTAAATTTTTCGTTTCAACGATTGACTGAATTGAACCTAGTATACGTGTTGTGTTGGCGGCTCCTTAAAAATCAGGAAACCGGCTCAATCATCGAACCAGTGCAACTCAGAACTAGACGAACACCGGAATTTGTAACAAAATCGTCCCGATTCACGAAGATCTCATCAGAGAAGACAAAATCGCAGATCTGAAGGTCATTTTCATATTAATGTAAGTACAACTTATGGAAGATTTACTACAAAATTTAAATAGATTAAGTATTGATTCTCCTTTAACTGACTCACAAGAAAACCCTAAATTAGATAGTAACGAAAATTTAGATAGTAACAAAAAATTAGATAGTAACGAGAATTTAAATAGTAGCGAGATGCCTCAAGAATTTAAATCACAATATTTAAGTTGTATTCCCGAATTTGATGGGAATCCATGCGAATTAAGTCGATATTTATCTACTAGTGAATCTCTAATTGGCAATTTTTATGATTTCCAAAATCAAAACAATTTCAAAAACTTTTTCTTGTTAAATTCAATCATAGGTAAATTACGCGGAAGTGCTAAACAAGTTGCTAATATAAAAAGCGTAACTACATGGGAAGAATTAAAAGCAATTTTAACTACTAGTTTTGCCGATCAGAGAGATGAAGCCTGTCTCAACAGAGATTTAGTCATGTTAAGACAGGGTCCAAATGAAACTCCAAAACAATTTTTTGACAAATGTTTAGACATTTTGAATCTTTTATTTAGTTATGTCGAAGTACACGAGACCACGCTAGAAGCGAAAAATCTTAAACGAACATTATATCAGGAACTAGCTTTGAAAACATTTCTATCTGGGTTAAAAGAACCCTTGGGCACTACAATAAGGTGTATGAAGCCTAACTGTTTAACTGAAGCTTTACAGTATGTTATAAAAGAACAAAATAATCATTATTTTCAAAATTTCCCAAATCAAAATTGTACAAGACCACAAAATAGAATAAATCAAAGCAGACAAATACAATTTCCACAGCAAAGAAATAATTTTGTTCAAAATGTACCTTTTAATTTTC